CCACAGCCATACTGCTAACGGTGCATTCTGGGTCCTCTGTCTCCTTCCTCCTCCTCTACCAGATGCTCCTGCTCCTCCACTCTGTCCGCTGAGTGGAAAACCACCCATTTCACTCAATAATTCCTGAGCACCAATGTCCTCCTCTACCTCCTCCTCTTATTCTTCCTGTCCTAGCCCCCACAGGGGTCATGTTGGCGTTGATGATCCTGTGCGCCACGTCTACCCGCACCCGATGACCAGCCATTGTTACCAGCTTTTGTTCCAGGACGTGCAACAGAGGAATGGACGTCGTTCATCCCATAGTCCTGCCGACTCTCGAATAGCGTGGCCTCCTCCAAAGGCCTGAGCAAGCGGCAGGTGTCACGCATGAGCTGCCAATGGCTGTCATCTAAGTTACACAGGGGGAGGAGTACCTTTATGCGCTTGTAACATCAGGAAAATCGGTGAGGGCCCTTTCGCGGTTCGTAAAGGCGGTCTAACAATTGTAGGGTTGAATTCCACCTTGTTGCAACGTCGCAGATCAGGCGCTATGCTGTGGATGGAATTACGTTCTGCCGCTGCAGCTCAAGGAGGGTGTGCTTTGCGGTGTGGGAATGGCTGAAATGCATGCAAAGTTTACGTGACATTTTAGGATGTCTTGCAGTGGGATGGTGGATTTTAGGAACCTCCGCTTGACAACCAGATTGAACACGTGAGCATGCATGGCGCATGGCACAACCTTCCTTGACGCAGAGCAGACACCATGTTCTTTCCGTTGTCGGTCAACATGGTTCCGATTTTCAGTTTGCGCGAGAGACAGCCATCTGTCGATTTCTCTGTTCATTACACTCAGAAGTTCCTCCCCTGTGTGACTACGTTCACCGAGGCATACCAGGTGCAGCACAGCGTGACACCGTTGCGCGCCCTGCACATGTGATATGCCGGGTCGGGTAATGGGACTTGGCACGGGGGGTGGCGGCTGAGGACACGGCGGAAGAAGAGCGTGGTAGAGGCGGACATCTTTTCTGGACCAAGGACGTGCAAACGTGGAGGCCAAAAGCGGCGTGACCTGCCCAAGTTGCTGGTGCGGTGTTGCTGTGCCGGCACCACGTTCACCCAGTGGGCCGTAAATGACATGTACTGTCCCTGACCGTAGTTACAGCTCCACACGTCGGCGCTGCCGTGCACTTTGGCAGAGACCGACATGCTCAAAGACTGGCCCACCATCTCTTCTACATGTGAATGCAGGGCTGGCACTGCCTTTTTGGCGAAGAAGAAATGCCGGCTTGGCACTCTCCACCGCGGCGCGGGTACAAGCCATCATTTCTCGGAAAGGTGCTGAGTCCACCACTTGGAAAGGGAGGGACTGCAGCACCAGCAACTTGGACAGGAGGACGTTCAGCTTTTGCACCGTCGGGTGTCGTGCTCGCAAACTGTTGTCTCTTGGAAACGGATTCCAAGAAAGACTGCTGACGGAATCCGTGAAGAGGAGTAGCAGGAGAAGGAGCATCTGAACGAGCGGAAGATGCCAACGAGCGACAACTCCCCTCAGCAGAGGTGTTGGAGCCTTTGACTGGCTGATAGAGGCGATTGACGTCGGGTGACGGAGCAAGGTAACGGAGCGGGTGATGGAGCGGGGGCTGGGGCGGGCAGAACCGCCGTATCTTTATCACGGTTTTCCCAGGCCACCGAATGGCGACGCTGCATATGCTGACGCAATGCTGTAGTCCCCCAACATGGGCCCCCTGGCCACGCTTGATTTCTGGCCACATAGAACGACATACGGCTACGTTTACTTCCTCGTCAGGGCGGCTTGACGAAAAATTGCCACACCGCCCGAGTAGGAAACTTTGCCCCGCTACTCCTCACTGGCTGACTGCTACTTCCTCCGTGCACACCGGCACCACTACTGGCCGTGGTGGTAGGCTGCAGTGGAGCTGGTGCTCTACTCCGTGGCCGTTTGCCTCCACTGACACTGCTGCGACCCTGCTGCCTCCTGGGCAACCCACCGACTGTTTTGCTCGCTGCCAAGCTGGCACCCTCTTCTCCTGATGATGCTGAGGAAGCAATATGCGCTGATGATGATGAGGCTGCCAAGTGCTATCAGCCTCATCATCCATCAATTAGGGTCTCCGCCTCACTACTAGCCCCCTCGGCTGCGTGTGGGTCAGGAGACAGACCTGTCTCTAGACCGGCTACCGAGCCACTCTCCTCGCCAGTACTTCTTCGCCTGGCTGCTGAAGAGGCGGATGTCTCCCCCCGTTCCGTGACCGCCCTCTGTTAGCTCTTCCTCACTGTACAGTGGGGCTGAGCCCACAGCATGCGATACTTCGCTTGGTGAGGGAACACCAAAGGACAGGGGCAGGTAGAGGACACGTGATTTCAGTGGGCTTGCTCCCAGGCCATGCCAACTAACGGTTGTGTCTGACGTACCCACCGACCGTTGGCTGTAGGTGTCAGAGGTGACCTGGGAAGAGGAAGACGACCGAGCCAACCAATCGATGACGGAAGGGTTTTTCGGTGGAGACACGACCGCTGGATGACACCGGGAGCACTGGCCTCTGGCTGCGACTAGTGCTGCCTCGACCCCTTCCTCTGCTGCCCGTCTGCTCGCTCCTGAAACATTGCCTCCTCTGCCACTCCTCTGCATGTTGTCTGACATACTCTCTTTAATTCAACGATTCTGTGTCCCTGAGTAACGATTCTGTGTCCCTGAGTAACAATTCTGTGTCCCTGAGTAACAATTCTGTGTCCCTCAGTAACGATTCTGTGTCCCTCAGTAACAATTCTGTGTCCCTGAGTAACAATTCTGTGTCCCCTGAGTAACAATTCTGTGTCCCTCAGTAACGATTCTGTGTCCCTCAGTAACAATTCTGTGTCCCTGAGTAAACAATTCTCTGTCCCTGAGTAACAATTCTGTGTCCCTGAGTAACAATTCTGTGTCACTGAGTAACAATTATGTGTCCCTGAGTAACGATTCTGTGTCCCTGAGTAACAATTCTGTGTCCCTCAGTAACAATTCTGTGTCCCTGAGTAACAATTCTGTGTCCCTGAGTAACAATTCTGTGTCTGTCCCCTGAGTAACAATTCTGTGTCCCTCAGTAACAATTCTGTGTCCCTGAGTAACAATTCTGTGTCCCTGAGTAACAGTTCTGTGTCTGTCCCTGAGTAACAATTCTGTGTCCCTGAGTAACAATTCTGTGTCCTGAGTAACAATTCTGTGTCCCTCAGTAACAATTCTGTTTCCCTGAGTAACAATTCTGTGTCCCTGAGTAACAATTCTGTATCCCTCAGTAACAATTCTGTGTCACTCAGTAACAATTCTGTGTCCCTCAGTAACAATTCTGTGTCCCTCAGTAACAATTCTGTGTCTGTCCCTGAGTAACAATTCTGTGTCCCTGAGTAATAATTCTGTGTCCCTCAGTAACAATTCTGTGTCCCTCAGTAACAATTCTGTGTCTGTCCCTGAGTAACAATTCTGTGTCCCAGAGTAACAATTCTGTGTCCCTGAGTAACAATTCTGTGTCCCTCAGTAACAATTCTGTGTCCCTCAGTAACAATTCTGTGTCTGTCCCTGAGTAACAATTCTGTGTCCCTGAGTAACAATTCTGTGTCCCTGAGTAACAATTCTGTGTCCCTCAGTAACAATTCTGTGTCCCTCAGTAACAATTCTGTGTCTGTCCCTGAGTAACAATTCTGTGTCCCTGATTAACAATTCTGTGTCCCTGAGTAACGATTCTGTGTCCCTAAGTAACGATTCTGTGTCCCTAAGTAACGATTCTGTGGCCCTAAAGTCTCTCTGGCCCTAACTCTGTCCCTAATACGACAGGTCTGTCTCTCTTGAATGACCGCAGGCTAATGGAGAATTGTAAGATGGCCGCAATTTATAGCTCCACCATTACACAGTGCTGGCTGGCTGCTGATTGGCTAATGCGATCACATGTCATGAATGAATGCATTATGGGTCAGCGCGATTCGGCGCGAATCGAATATTTCCCAATATTCGAAACGAATTCCACTTGTTCGAATGTTCGAACATGTTCCATGTTCGATTCGCTCATCTCTAGTTAAAACCAGAAAAAAGCGAAAATTCTTTCCAACCAGTACCATCCTGCCAGTATCCAAACCGGTGAGCCTACCGTCTGAGAACCTGCCTTCCGTGGTTCAGCCTGAAGCCTCTACTCAGCCTGAAGCCTCTACTCAGCCGGATGCCTCCACTCAGCCTGAAGCCTCCACTCAGCCTGAAGCCTCTACTCAGCCTGAAGCCTCTACTCAGCCGGATGCCTCTACTCAGCCGGATGCTTCTACCCAGCATAATGAACTGATCCAGCCTGATGATCCTATTAGGCCAGTTGACTTGGTTCCCGCAGTCTTGCCAGACGACTCGGTGCCCGCAGTCTTGCCAGACGACTCGGTGCCCGCAGTCTTGCCAGACGACTCGGTGCCCGCAGTCTTGCCAGACGACTCGGTGCCCGCTGTTCCGCCAGTTGACTAGATGCCCGCTGTTCCACCAGTTGACTCGGTGCCCGCAGTCTTGCCAGACGACTCGGTGCCCGCAGTCTTGCCAGACGACTCGGTGCCCGCAGTCTTGCCAGACGACTCGGTGCCCGCAGTCTTGCCAGACGACTTGGTGCCCACTGTCGTGCCTGGTGACTCGGTGCCCGTTGCTCCGCCTGGGGGCCCGAGACCTGTCGCTCCGCCTGGGGGTCCAGCGCCCGCCGCTCCGCCTGGGGGCCCGATGCCTGTCGCCCCGCCTGGGGGCCCGATGCCTGTCGCCCCTCCTGGGGGCCCGGCGCCTGTCGCCCCTCCTGGGGGCCCGGCGCCCGCCACTCCGCCTGGGGGCCCGATACCTGTCGCCCCGCCTGGGGGCCCGATGCCTGTCGCCCCTCCTGGGGGCCCGGCGCCCGCCGCTCCACTTGGGGGCCCGATGCCTGTCGCCCTGCCTGGGGGCCCGATGCCTGTCGCCCCTCCTGGGGGCCCGATGCCTGTCGCCCCTCCTGGGGGCCCGGCGCCCGCCACTCCGCCTGGGGGCCCGATACCTGTCGCCCCGCCTGGGGGCCCGATGCCTGTCACCCCTCCTGGGGGCCCGGCGCCCGCCGCTCCACTTGGGGGCCCGATGCCTGTCGCCCTGCCTGGGGGCCCGATGCCTGTCGCCCACCTGGGGGCCCGATGCCTGTCGCCCCACCTGGGGGCCCGGTGCCCGCCGCTCCGCTTGGGGGCCCGATGCCTGTCGCTGCGCTTGGGGGCCCGATGCCTGTCGCCCCGCCTGGGGGCCCAATGCCTGTCGCCCCGCCTGGGGGCCCGGTGCCTGCTGCTTCACCTGGTAATCTCCCAATGTGCCTCTGCCCGGAGTCCAGCCCGATGTGCCTCTGCCCGGAGTCCAGCCCGATGTGCCTCTGCCCGGAGTCCAGCCCGATGTGCCTCTGCCCGGAGTCCAGCCCTGTGTGCCGCTGCCCGGTGTGCCGCTGCCCAGAGTGCCGCTGCCCGGAGTGCCTCTGCCCGGAGTCCAGCCCGATGTGCCTCTGCCCGGAGTCCAGCCCGATGTGCCTCTGCCCGGAGTCCAGCCCGATGTGCCTCTGCCCGGAGTCCAGCCCGATGTGCCTCTGCCCGGAGTCCAGCCCGATGTGCCTCTGCCCGGAGTCCAGCCCGGTGTGCCTCTGCCCGGTGTGCCTCTGCCCGGTGTGCCCCTGCCCGGTGTGCCGCTGCCCGGAGTCCAGCCCAGTGTGCCAGTCTTTGATATCCCGCCAGTTACCAGACCCGGGCGGTGGAACTTTTTGCCCAGCTAGGACTGTTTGGAGCGTCCTGAGGCCGCTCCTTGAGGGGGGGGGGTACTATCAGGAATGGACTGGCCAGCAATTGTGGGACTCACCTGCCTTGTGAGCTGCAGTACCGGGGCTGGCAAGCGGGTGCTCCCAGCAATCAGAGACTCAACCTTGCAGCCAGTCAAACACCTGGAACTAATTATACTGGTGTATTTAAGGGACATTCAGACCTGCAGACTCTGCCTTGGTGTTGTGTTTTTCCTGGGCCCTGTATCTTGTTCCTGCATCCTGCTCCTGCTCCTGTTCCTGTTCCTGTCCCTGTCTTGTTGCTGACCCGGCTTGATTCTGACCTCTGCTGACTTCTCCTGTTCTGATCCCTGGCTTGTGACCCCGACCATTCTCTGCCTGACCCCCTGTACCTACCTGCCTGTTAGTTGCTGTACCCTGCTCGTGACCTGACTATTCTCCGCTTGCTCCCCCTGTACCTACCTGCCCGATTGATATTTACCCGGCCTGCCTGACGACGCTTGCACTGTATGTACTGTTATCTGTGGGTGGTTTGGTTGGTTCGTTTGCACTGTGTTATGTTTTAGTATTGCACTGCGTTTATGTTTGTATTGTTAGTGTTAATAAATTGTTTATAACTTATCTGAAGTCTGCGTTTCCCTGCGTCAGTCACACACCTCTGGTCATACCCGGGAGCCCTGACAGTAAATCTCCATAAAAGGGGCACAGAGAGCAATAAAAACCTGTTCTAATCCTTCTCCACTTTATTCTAAAAACGTTTGTCTTTACATACACTTTAAAGGAACAATAATTCCCTTATAGAAAACAGCTAACAACTACAGTGACAAATGTATTTTGGTTTATATTTGGTGTTAATCAAAATTATCTCCATATACAAGCTAATTGAAGTGACCTTCTCCTTAATATCTGTCCTATGAATTTCCAAATTACTAAAGTAAAGTTTATGGTAATTTAAGATGGGCTTAATGCATGCTAAAGTTTCCTTTCAATCTCCCAATATTATGCACCCTTTCTGAACCTGAAGTTTTGATTGTTAAAAAGAATGGAGATGTTAACAGCAGAAGGTAGAAATGTTTATCTGTTTGTCACTTTTATCAGTCTTCTCTTCCCCGCTCCAGCACCGGCATCTCAGAGTGTCTCATGACATGAATCACATGACATGTCATGCATCTCAATTTTCTATTTAGACTACAAGACAATCATATATCAGTATATAAACAGACATTGCAGCGCTAAAACAATCCAAAAATTTAGGGTCTCCACATAAATTCAATCACGTGTAACAGTATAAAATATCATATACAAAAAATTAAAGTCTAATAGTGATCTGCTGAATAGTTGTGGATTATAGTATAATGAGCTGTATAGTCACACTGTCCACTGTAAAGAATGTTCACCCAGTGATCCAGGACAATCAAAAGTGTCAACTCCACCAATGGTTGAAATAAAAACTCACCAGAAGATGTTGCTGTCTAAAAGAAGAACAGCAGTGTACGCTTGTACTCTTGATTTGTACTTGATTTTTATTTACTGGAGTGTAGTCATCCACTATTTTGATTCTATATTTTCAGCAATGAGCTGGATTGGAAGTGCAGTATGGGCTAGAGTGGACCATCCTGGAGTGTTGTGATAAACCACTTCTCCTGCGGTCTCCACTGCATCCACAGTCTGGTCCCTGCTGAAATTTTGCACCCTCAGCCCACAAATTCTCCCTACTTCCAGCTGCCCAGTTCCTCAAGCCTCTCTAATGTTCCATTTCCCATTGAGTGACCTGGGGTGGCCTAAATCCAAACTTCCATGACAGGGTTCCACCTTGAATGCCATCTACCTCTATAAATGCACTCTCAAGGAAAACAGCTACACCGAGGAGGAGAGTCTAAATCCCAGATTGTAACAGTCACCATGTTCAGCCAGGGAAGTGAATAAATAGAATCAGAGAACAGTAGCAGCAGTGTTAGCTACTGAGCACAACACAGACATAGCTAATGAATTCCAATAAATTGTGTTATATATAAGTGTGTGTGTTTTATTTTTTAACACAATTAATATATTGTTATATTGGGCCTGCACAATAGAAATGTTTGGACAAAAGAGCTGTTACAGTTGTCAGTGTTGGTGGTGGCAGTAAGCGACATAGTTGGTGGTGGCAGTGGTGATCATAGTGCAGCTAGCTTGGAGCATCATGGATAAGTTGCAAAATCCACTTTTTCTGTATTTGTAAGGTTCATTTGGGTGTTTATGTTGCTAAGGATATCTTTGGGTGATTTTTTAGTATATATATATATATATATATATATATATATATATATATATATATGTGGATTGTTGGATTTTAAGACTCCTTTACTGATACGCAACCTGTCGTGACCTCACCACAAGAAGTGAAGCTCCTGCAGGAAATGAGGTAGCAGGAAATAAGGGGAGAGGGGAAATTACTTTGGACAACCATGTGTTAAGAGACAAAGGAACTGCTGTTCTGGGGACTTTGGAGAAGAAGCAGTGCTTCTGGAGACTTGGAAGAAGAAACGGTGTGTTAGAGGACTTTGAGAGAAGCAGGAAGCAGTTCTGGATCCCAGAAGATGACTCCATAAAGAAAAATCCCAGTTAAGCAACTGTTTTAGTGTATACCTAACACTTACAGTAGATAGTCAGCTTGTGCATGTTGTAAGCATATTTTTTTATACTTTGTATGTTATGATTTGTGTATCCTGCAGTTGTATGTGCAGCCTTTCTGTTCAATAAAGCACATTTATACACCATAGAGATCTAAGCTTCCTTGACTTATACTTATAAAGTAACCTTCACTAGACACAAGTAAAAAATTGGTGCATAACTTTGATTTACTCTACTGCTTTGATCAAGCAAGCACAGAAGAAACTGACACATCTTATAGTTTTGATGAAAGCCGGGGTATACTAGAAAAATACATAGACTTCACTGATGAGCTCTCTGTGACTATTTATTGCCTAGTCACTAACTAATTATTATCATCATCATTAACCATAAAAAACACACTCATGCATTTTTAAAATTTAAAATGAGATGATTGTAGCTGTATTAAGATTTATTTACCATTCTACTAAAACTTTATGTATTTGTATTGCTTGGACCTTGAAAAAGGGGGGGTAGATCCCGAAAGCTTGTCCTGAAAAAGTGAATGTTACTGCTGTGACAGAAAGCCAGGAAAAACTATAAGTTGCATCCAGAATGGAAGATATATTTATCCCAGGTTCAAGCAATTCCTTTTTGGGCTGTGACGTGAGCCTGTTTGGCGCAATGAGGGGTTAATGAGCTCAGCAGAAGCAGGCTGAGCACTCTGATCTCTATAAAACTCCCAGGCTGCTTAGGGAGGATGAGCAGCCATTTACTTGTATGGTGAAATTAAGTATGTGTGAATAAGGACACTGATTTATTCTGTGTAAAAATCAAGTGGCTGGGCAGCAGTAGGCTGTTTTGGGACAAGTAGGCAAGAAAAAACACCCCAATCCCAATCGTATAACTTTATTCATTTGACCAGGAAATGGTTGCAGCAAGAAACATTGTCTGGACCAAAAATTGTGAAACATTAACAAATGTCTAAGGTCTATCCCTATTACCTTGCAAAAATGGGTAAGCCATGGAGATCCAGAAACAGAGGACAAACTTATGGACCTTGTGGAAAGGTACCTAGCAACTGAGAATTTTACGTCTTCCCTCAAAGGCTCATAGACTTTTCACCCCAAGGCCAGACCATCCCCAGCTACAGGTAATACTGCACCAAGGAATCGGGGGGTGGGAAAGGGGGAACTATAAGCACTTTGGGGGCTGCTTCTAATGTCTGATGAGAGCAGCCTGGAAGGCCAAACCCACGGGAGGTGACTTGTTACCTCTCCCGGGAAGAGGGACATGTAGTGGCAGATTGCCCACTTATTGATAAACCAATGTACTGTGAATTTCCTATAGAGAGTCTGCAGTCCCTATTTCCAAATGTATGCACATACATTAAAGTAAAGGGAAATGGGAAACCTTTATGCAAAATGTGTATAGATGGTAAAATGTTGTTGTATTGTTGGATTCAGGTAGCCTGGTTACTTTGGTAAAAACTGAACTAGTAATGGGAAAAACCTTGCACCCTAGAAAAATTGTGGTCATTTGTGTGCATGCGGACACTTGAGAGAATCTGTAGGGCAATAGTGTCCTTTGAAACCTCCCTGGGTAACCTGTGTCATCAGGTGGGTCTGGTTCCCTAATTGCCACATGATGTCATTGTGGTAAGGGATTTTCCAAAATTCTTGGAATTCTGGGATTACTCAGATGCCCCATTGAGTGCTTCTTCTGAGCCTGATGGTTCTCCAAGGGGATTCTCCTGAGTTTCCCTTGTCAGTATTAGCAGGGTAAACAACAGGGCCTAAGGTGGAGGCTGCAACCTCAGAAGTGAAACCACAACCTCTAGTGTTTGATGATCTCCGAGTACACAGATAAAATGTTGCCACTGAACAATTGAAGGATCCTGCATTACTAAGGACACAGGAGAATGTAGTGAAAATAGATGGGGAATAAGTGAACCCCTATGAGAGGATTGCCCCCGTTCTTTATCGTGGATGAAGATGTCTTGTGTCACAGAGGGCAGAGGAAACCATTGAGCATCTGGTATTTCCTTACCTTACCACTAGTTGTTCTTAAAACTGACCCATGGTTACAATCTTGGATGACATTTGGGAGCAAAAAAGACCCAGGAAAGAATCGTACAGAGGTTCTATTGGCCTATGATCACTAAGGAAGTGGAAATGTACTGTTCTTCCTGTCTGATGTGTCAGATTTCTACATCAATGCAACATTTCTGTAGTCCTTTGGTTCCCCTGCCCATCATTGAGGT